TCGCCAAGGACTTCAACTCAAAACAGTTTTCACACCACTTTTTCAGCCTTTTTGCTCGTGAACTTGCTGCAAACGTATGAGCTCTGCTTCGCGTTTTCGCTTTGCTTGAGGTCCAGAAACAGCTCGTGTCTCTGTACTTCGATTGGCTGGATCGATGTCGTCCAGGTTCTCCTCGCTATCGCCATCACGACTCTAACTGGAGACGATTTCTTCACCATTTTCCACAGCAGCTAGCGCAGAATGTTCGTCGTCCCCGAGTTTAGGAAATGGAATCGGTTGGATCAGCTCAAAAACTCTTTGTCTTGACTAGAGCCGAGGAGTAACACTCAGTAGTAGCAGAGAATATTCTACCGGAAGCCCTTTGACTTCCCTGACTGCTGAAACCCTTCCTGCCATCACTGCTACTTCTTCTAACAAGCGAGATGCTCTTTGGTTCCACTTCACTGCACTCTTTTTTACAAACCATCATTTTATTCCCAAAAAATGATTTTCACCCTAAGTCTGGTCTTCACAGAAGTTGGGCCAAAAATAACAATTTGAAATGGAATTACCCTTCTCCCCCTGGCCCCCGCCAAACAACAGCACACCGTTCAGTTAGTTTCAATACTAGTATTCACTAATCAATAATAAACGGCGAGAGCGCAGGAGGAGAAAGACGAAAATGGATACAGCAAAAAGACGAAGGAAAAGACACCAAGAAGCAACAAAGAACAAGCAGTAATAAAGCGACGACAAATCGGGACGACCAATCAGGGGCTAATACATGTACGTTTAGAACACATGACCAAGACCAAAACACCAGACCAAGGACGAATCACACACACGACTCTCATTCCCAGACCAAACTAGCACTGCGCATGTACAGCATTCACTTGACAGTCACTCTCACACAGACGGAAGCAGATCCTCACACTCTGACAATGCGTTCTCTTGCATGCACCACCCACCGTAAACGTCACACATCACACCATCCTCGCGCGTACACTTAGACTATAATTATAATGACATCCGACACTGAACTCTACCAGACAAGAACCAAATACAACAACAAAAAATTCACGGTTCGCGTGAGACTCGGCCAAAGGCCCAGTTTTCCGCATCCGCAGGAACGCCACCACCCTCTTGGATCAAGGCGCAGATGCAGCTCCTAAGCGGTGGGAGGTGAGTAGATCAGACCCACCACAAAGTGGGCAAAGACCGAAATCCCATTCACTGCATCCATGTTTCCCTCGTGCCAGGCCACGAGTTCCCATTTAATTGTGGGTCGCAGCACGGCTGGAAAAAATCCTTCCGCTTCCAAGCAGGACTTGAACCTGGTACCCTCTGTTTCTCAATCAAAATACAACAAAGTGTGTAAATAAACCTCTGGTCAATGATATGCAATCTGGGTTCCGCCATGGTGACTCTACCTCTCTACATCTAACCAACCTTGTCCAGAGACTAGGGGTGTGCGGATAATGCTCGAAAAGGTGGCAGATTCTGCAATTCCTCGAATTCTGCTCCATTTCTTTATCCACATACCAAACATGCATGAAACTTACCAGAAAAAGTACCGAATTCTGCCAATTTTTCTGCCGGCATTATCCGCACATGCCTACCAGAGACTGTGCACCCTCCGAGACCGCCGCCATTACCTTGGCCTGTGTTTCTTCGACCTGGCGAAAACGTTTGACTCAGTTTGGCACATGGGGTTACTAGCCAAGCTGCATGCTTATGGGGTCACCGGACGCCTGCAGTCGTGGCTCACCTCCTATCTCAACAATAGGACTCAATCAGTTAAGCTTGGTCCAGTCCTCTCAGATTCTATCCCCATTTCCTCTTGTGTACCGCAAGGGTCCACTCTAGGACCGTTACTTCTCCTGGCCTTCGTCAACGACCTCCCTGTCCTCAACCTTGGCGTGTCTCTGTTTGCAGACGACACTTGTATTCTGCGCAGTAGTCCCTCTGTTTCCCGTCTTATATTATACCTCCAAGCGGGTATCACGGATATCACTTCGTGGGGGGCATTGTGGAAGCTAAAACCGAACGTCGGGAAGACCTAGGTAATGATCATTCCCCCTCTGTCTACTACTCTCTACTACCCTCTCCCTCCCCTAGTATTCCATTTCTCCACCACTCCCATAGAATATGTAGATCATCACAGGCATCTTGGTGTCATTTTTGACACTAATCTCTCCTGGACTCACCATGTTGCCCACATATGTAAGAAGACTAGTTAATAATAATCTTTATTAAAGGATCTCCCAGAGGCGATGGCCTGTCGAGGGGATCTCCTGGCTACTAGTCAAGCCATAGGTATAATACACTCACACCGCGCCCATCTTCCTGACAGCTGTCATGCTCTTTTCTATAATGCATAATATTATCTTGCCGCATTTTGACTACTGCTGTACTGCCTGGACAAATCTATCTATTGCCCACCAGCAGAAACTGGAAATTCACAATCGTTCCCTCCTTAAGATTCTTTATCATATGCCCAAGTCCCTTTCTGGTGTCGCTCTCTATATGTTATCCTCGACCAGACCTCTCCTAGAAAGACGACGAATCATGATGTGCTGTCTTATCCATCGTATTAGACTTTCCAAAATACCCCCGCATCTTAAACCATTTGACTGGTTCCGACGGGATAGCTCCACTAGGATTTTTTTTCCTTGGCTCTTCATCCGGTTCCATTCTTGCACACCTTAGAAGTTCTTTATCGCCGTATACTGCGCATATTATTTCGTACAGGTCGTTTCCTTAGATCTCATATGAAGACTTGTGTGCTGCTGTATCCACTACCATTTTGCAACACTACCTCGCGCTTCCAAGTGCACCCGGGTACATTCCAAATTTCTTGACTAGCACCCTGCTCACTTGCAGTTTACGTCGGGTGGTACCACCGGAAGCCGCGTTTGTCTCCCCTAGCTAGGTCTACCCTATTGGCAAATTCCCCTTTCCTTTCCTACTACTCCACGTGGCTCCAACTGCCTCCCAGTGTTAGGCAAACTCCAGATCTGCCCAAATTCCGCACCCTCGTCAGACAGCACTTCACTATCTTCCAGCACGACACAAAATCACAGTCACCACTTCCATTGCATAGGTCGATCGGCACGCCAGCGCTTTGTAACTAGCTAATCCCTCAAGTGTTGTGTACGTGCCTTTAATTTTCTTTGTTCTCTTCTTCCGTGGTTGGTCGTACCCTCTACTCAATTCAATTGGCTGTCTTGACATGCTATGAGGTGCAGCATTAAATAGATACTTGAAGTAGATACTAGATACTACTGGCAAGAGAAGGCGGATAATGTCAATTCTCTACGGCCAGATCCCCGATCATACTTTAGTGGCATACGCCAACTTTAAATCGCAGCGCTTCAGTCTGCAACAAGTAAGTTCCAGTCAGAGTGGCTGATGAGGAAGGGAATAATTATTATACATCCTGATGTGAAGTGGAACTTACAAAAAGTCAGTGACTCGAGACTTGTCCACCGCAGTGACACTTCCAGTGTTTTAACGGCCTCTGCACCATCCAACAATATCAGCGATCCTGAGTTCTCCGTCGAGGAGGTGACAGCAGGCAACAATCAGCAGAGAGTCGGCTGGGCTGTGGGATGTGACGCCATCAGTGCTGGTCTGCTGCCAGAGAGCGCAGACGTGTTATCCCTCTACAGTCCCTTTCAAAAAGATTTGCAATCCTGGCGATCGCCTGCGGAGTTTGGCGTCTTACCGTATGAGCACTCGAGCGCTGCCTGGAAAAACTCACTGTGAACTCGAAGAAATATTCCGCGCGAAAGCAGGAAAAATGACAACTCACTCACGTTGATACAGTCATGTACGTCTGGTTTACAACAAACGAGTTCTTCCTCGTATCGATAATGGAGTCAGAGAGGACAAGTCGAAACGAAAGTGTTGTAAGTGTTGACGAGCGGCATGGGTCCGAATTCGTGTTGTGACCAAAATAGTTTCTTTGACCTGCTACGCAATTTAGGCCTTGACGGATTATGCTAGCATAATTTTTCGCATAATTCCTACCAAAATCGAATAAGCGCATAATTCGAGGCAAATTGCATACGGATCGCATAAATTGGAATAATCCGACTGTTCGCATCAAATTCCATACAGTTGTACATGTTTTACAAGTACAAGTACAAGTAGACACACCAGGAAGTCGTAGGTTTACGACTCCATTGATAACATGTCCAGTCCACTACAATCAGTGACCCGGGTGACGGTCGTAGCTAGGTCGGACGGTGCGTTGACCCCGTTGAACTTTTGCTACTACAGTACAACGCCCTCTACAAAAAAATTCCCCTGTTATTTTGCACAGAACCATCATATACATTAGCAGCATATGTGAGCATGATGCGCATAATATGATAACTTTTAGCATAAAAATAGCATAATTCTGCCATTTTTTCAGCAATGCGAAAAGCATAATTTCACGAAAATATTGGCATAATCCGTCAAGGCCTAACGCAATTTACTCACGGTGTGACTTCGACGACATCGACACGGACTCATTCCCAAGGCCATGACTTGGCAAAGCTATCCGTGTGGCTTCGACGACATTTTGAGAAAAGCAGACGCTTGTGAACGCTGATAGAAGACAGCGTTGACTGCTAAATTCAAATAAATTGGCTATCTTGAAATACTAGAATAAATCTCAAAAAGCTACAGCGCGATGACTTCCATATTCACTCACACCATTGCAGTGTTGTGGGTGTGTTCACATGGCGTGAGCCAGTCAAGTGTCAATCAGTTCGGCAGGAAGCGCGAGCTCCAACAACAACAACAACAACAAGTCGTTTGGTGCAGCCATCTTCTTTGTCTTGTACCAGCTTGATCACCAAAACAATGAAGAAAAAAAGTTTGATTTGAGGATAGGTTGGGATTTGAACTCACAACTTCATGGTCAGCAGACAGCATTCATAACCACAAGGCCAAAGAGGAAAGGATAAATCGTGGGTTTTGATAAAAATCGATACTGGCTTCCTGGGCAAATTGTAAACCATGGGAAAAGGCCGGAAACCTGGCCGAAATTCTAACTCCTTAACGGCTGATCCAATTGTTCCGAAACCTTCACAGAACAATTTGCCGTGTCCTCACAAGCCATTCTATGTACTTTGTTGTCCAAAGTTCCCTTATCTTCATACTTTTTAAGACCCAAACCTGATTGTAAATCTTTTTGAAACAGACTATAGCTCGCTGCATCCTTTAATGCCACCACACTGCAGCACCACTGCCCGTCAGACATGCGCTGCGGGATCCTTGCACCACTCCATCAACCAAGAAAACATATTTGTGCTGCAAAGAGCTATCCACCCGTCATGCTGCTTTCCGTGGTCCGGAAAGTACTTACCAGCATTCTCTGCCGTCGTTCCGCACCAGTGGCGAATGCACTTGTCAAGGAAAGCAAACCTGGATTCCGTGCAGGAAGGTCAACAGTGGATGGAGTACACTTGGAGGATATATGTCCGAGCGGTCATTGCTGGGAGATTGGAAGTATTCTGCAGCATTCTAGGAATTTAGACGCGCATTTGATTTATTGCAGCGCCACATCACTACCTTTGTCCTCCAGCTGTCAGCAACCAGGACCTAGTTAACACAAACACTAAGAGTTCGTAAGGAAAGATCCATTACTTCCATGATGGCCATCATACATACCATTACAACGACGGACAGGGCCAAGCTAGTTTCCTGAGTTCCATCATGGTTGCAAGGTGGGCCGGATCTGCCCCGTTCGATCTGCTTTTGGCCTGGTTTCCTGCCAGAGCAGCTTGCTACTCGTGCGTGTGGCGTAGCCGATATCAGTTCCTGTCGTCCAACGTGGTAAAGGTTCGCAGACTTAGAGCAGTGCATAAAGGCCAAATAAAACCAGCTTTGAGTTCATTCTCGCGATTTCAAGACACTGTTGAGAACGATTTGGTTAGTATCAGGACAACTCGTCACGAACACTGCCAGTGAGGTACTAACTTACACTCACCCTTATGCTCTTCCCCGATGTGGTGTATGTCGACTAAGTCAGTTAGGTGGATTGCAAAGCCATCTTTTTGGAGTAATGAGACAGTGTAGGAAATGAAAATGTCCCATATGCAACATTCATTATTCCTCTTTTAAGAGTTTTAGAAATGTGGTAAATTTGTCAGGAAATGACTCAAAAACTGAGGTTGCGTACAGTCCACCTATTCAAAGGCATTATATCTGATGTTCTTGTGTCCTGCATCAGGACCGCAGCACTGTGTATAGGGACATTGAAGTCATGACGCCGGTGTCAGTGCAAGGCTTGGTGGCCATTCTCCTGCTGATGGCGGGGGTGGCCATGGCTGCACCAGCTACAAGCTATGCTGACGACTTGGACTTTGATGATGAGGTAAAGGTCGGGGAGCTAACTGTTAACACCAAGGCTGATCTCTTCCGTTACCCGAATACTGCTCCCTCCATGTGAGCCAGATGCTAGCTAACAGTACGTCTAGAATAGCTTATCCCCTGATGTACCCCTTACCCCATCCACATACATGTACACCGGTACTGGTATACAGGGAGACATAGACAACAGCAACAGCACGCCATTTTGACGGGAAGTCGGTGCAGCCTGATGTTGTGCTGCCTGATGTTACTAAATATAATAATGAATATTGTATTATTGCCTCTCCTTATCTCCAGCAAGTAGAGGATACATTGGATAAGACCAGCAACCGGATCGACAAGATCATGGATGAACTGCAGCAGCTCTCCCTGGAACTTGGTCAAGATGAAGACGAAGCGCTAGATGGAGATGGTAAGGCGCCGCGGGTCAAGACGAGCATGATCGAAATCAGCATGTACAGTGTAGCTCCGCAACATTCATTGGTTTGAGGGAAAAATGCAAACACGAAAAGTGAGAAGAAAAAAATGACTATGTCACCACCAGGCCTCGAGCCAGGGACCTTCGCTTGAGACGAAGTGCTTGAAGGAGATGGTAAGCCCTAGATCGAGTATGGTCGAACTCATCTTGCAATTACAGACCACTACTCGCTACTTCGTGAAGGTTCCGACTGCGTATCGTTGCTTCGATCCGGTGGTCCAGAATTCTCAGTGCTACGGCCCTGCATGGCCTGTTATACTTTCGCACACAGAAATCACATGAAAAGTTTCCTGCCAATTTCCCGTTCCATACTAATTTTAGTTAGTGTCCTATGGGCAAGTGTGTTGTACATTTACATGTATACAGTGTTGGTGTGTGACTTCTGTTTTCTTTTCCTCTGTGGATTGAACCCACCAAATGTCCTGTGTTTCCGTTGTCAGAGGTCAGAATCAGCAAGCGTGATCCACATCACAGTGTGCCAGTTCTGGAATATGCTGACTTCCTCGATGCAGACCAAAAGCCAATTCCGCAAGTCAGTAAGTGCGCGTACAATGTAGTATTTGCCAGTGTCATGACTGGTGATCGTCCTAACGTGTTATTGTATGCCAAGCTCGTTGGCACAATGTACATGTACACAATTATCTACATGTGCATATTCATTGCATTACAAAGTAGGGCTGAGATGTTGCGACTTTGAAGGCAAATACATGACTGTGCGTGCAGAAGAATGGGCCTGCTCCAAACGCTCGTACGGAGCTCGCGCTTCATGCCGACTGACTGACACTTGCCTGACTCGCGAAGTAGTTTGTGAAAATACAGAAAGTCGCGAAAGTTGCGATTTCGTCCGAAACAACAAAGTAATTAGTTGCGAAAAAAGTGGCGAGCATCTTTTGGGAAAGCGCTACGCAGGGTCAGGCGTAACCATGGTAACACACGTTACAACTTTACTGTACATGTACATGTACCTCCGACCCAACGCACAGAGTTGAGATGTTTTGCGAAGGCACAGCGCTACACGTGTAGCGACTCTGACTCACGCTGTATATTTAGGGACCGCTAGAAAATCCGCTGACTCAAGCTGTATGCTATTTACTGTAAACTGTAAAGCAGGTTTACTACAGTTCTTTGACTAGTAAAAAAGAAAGTACTCTAGTACATGATCGTACTTTATAGTACTAGCACATCGAGCATGCGTATTTTGTCCCCATCGTCCTCAGTAAGGCTCAGTTGCACTGGCGGGCAAGGCAAAGCAGCGAATCTATTCACGAATCGATTCGCGCAATTCACATCACACCGAGTGAATGGATTCCGAATCGATTCCAGGGCTCATCACATGAAAATGGAACGACTTGAATGCATGCGAATGGATTCATGAATCGAATCAAGTGTGTAATCGAACGCAGCCATTGGAGTCTCCAAACCGTGAGAAAAATGCTGTTGGTTTGACAGCATACTAAAGGCCACTGTTTCCGAACACGGTGTCCGCCACCTTGTTTCGTGCTGTCAACCCAACAACACACTGTAGTAAAATTAATACAGTTGTAGTTACTTGAGTAGTACATGATTGTAGTAGTAGTACTACTACTACTACTAATACTACTACTACTAGTCATGATGTCCTGCCTGCCGAGCAACAACTGCATGCATGCAGCCGCTAGGCTGTACTGTCTGTAGTCTGCAGCCTAGCGATGCACTGGATTTCCGCTCCGCTTCAGTCATACTAGTCATTTCCGCCACTTTTTTCCCGTGCATGCAGTCGTCGCGTCGACTCCAGTCCTGCACCATTGTACTGTACCAGTCCTACTGTTTCAGTACTGACTGTACCTAGACCTAGTAGTAGACCTACCTGACCTTGCGATGCTTGCTCCGGAAGCCATCGACAGTGGCGTACAGGAGAGTCATCCGTGCATCCGTAAACCGAGTTGTAGGAACCTTATTTTCGCAACGGCGATGTTTCAAACTTCAACAGTATGTTTGGCTCACTTGTTCGTAAATTAGCTTCAATTTCTTCAGGTTGTGAGAATGATTTTGTGTGAGTTCGCAGAACGCTAGGGCCGGGTTGTTGGTGGACGCTGAGAGGATGGCCATAATTATGGTGACCTTAGCAGTGACTGTAAAAGAGGAAAGCTGGCACTTGTGTAGTGCTGCACGTATCGTGGCTTGGACACGGCCAGCGAATATACTTAGACGCAGCTGATGTTGGCGAAAGTGACGATGGCACAAGGTAAACGCTGTAACTCGAACAAAGAATATATTGGCACCTCTCGAAGAGTTCAGTTCAGAATATGCCACCTCCTTGGCTGGGACTCTGCTATGCTGCCAGGTAAAACTGTATTGAACAGAATGTGAACATAGAAAGGAGCTGAGGCGAACTGATCAAATTCAGGGCTCGCCACGACCATACAAAAGTCAAAAAGCGTCAACCACCAATTATTTGGAAAAATGGTGACGCCCCCCCCGAGAGGCCAGAGTTTGTGCAGTCATAGCGGCTATGCACCCAAGTTCATGCGGATCGATATACAGCGATGTACGGTATAGTCGTAGTATACACTGTCCCCGGGGAAAATTGCGGAAAAAATCGCAAAAAAACGCGGGGAAAAACGCGGCATAATATGGCATAATTTGCGGTGAATTCGCGGTAAATATGCGGTAAATATGCGGTGAATAATATTGATGTGCGGCAATTTTCAGTGAGTATGTAGTGAAATCAATCAGTTACAAGTCTCTGGTGTAAGCACTCGTCATATTTGAGTAAAAAGCCGCCAAGATGAGACGTTGCTGACCGAACAGGGCACTGTGTGTACGTGTAGTGCAAAAAAAAGTTCAAAAAACGCGGGAAAATTGCGGAAAACGCGGTCTTTTAAAAAATCGCAAAAAACGCGGAAAAAACCGCGGCCGCGGAATCGCAATTTTCCCCGGGGACAGTATAGTCAACGCGAACAGTTAAATTGTCCTTATTCGTGAAGTGTCGTTACACCCAAAGTCTCATTATATGTATACAGTTAGATGGGACTTTGCCCTGGACATGGAAATTCTGTCGTTATTCGCGAATTGTCGTTATAACCGCAGTCGCTATTAGCGAAGTGGACTGTACTGGTATTTTACGACTCCCTGGTCTAGTCTGTACGGGGAAGCGCCCTTGCCAAAGCGAATCTTGTTAATTGTATGTTTGATGCTGAGAAAGTCACGCGGCGAAGCCTTTCTCAAAGCCATCTTGGTCATTTTTCTAAATCTACTGGTGGGTATCGACCAAAATATGTCCGCGAGGTACTGGTGAACTGGAGTCCTGGCATCTACAAGAATTTTCCGCGCCTAGCTAGCCAATGTTGTCAATAGAACTCAGCGTTTCCTGATCGCTACTCGGCACACTCTTTTCTGTTTGGCTACGCAGCTTTCACGTTGCGAGTACGATTGGGGAATTTCCTGGCCACAAATGAATCTCTTAGTCATGACCATAATGACAGGTGACTGGTATGATCCCTGACTGGCCTGAGTGCTTAGCTTGAGTCAACACGAAGGTAAAATCTTCACTTGGAACGCTTGCTGTCTCCTCCGTCCTTTCTTGTTGCACTTTCAGATATGCGCACGGCTGCCAGGTTTTGTTGGTGTGCGCGGGAACGCGCGGCCGACCTTGATGTCTTAAAAATAGAGTAGAACCTCGGTTCTACTTGGCTGATTCTCACCTATTTCTATTACTCGCCGCCTTTTCAAATATCCACAATACCAAAAATGATGTAAGGAATACAAATATTTGAAAAGGCGGCGAGTGTAAGGAAATAAACATTATAAAGATCAAGCCATTCCCTGTACTATCCTTGCTGAGAAGGGCACGAAAACGTTTGATATCTTATGAGAAATGCCTAGTTGACTGGATGTGCAAGATTGTGGGACCTACCTTTGTTTGGAGATAGGTATGATTATATTATGGTTTGGTTGGGAGGGCAATAATGGATTTTCAGTGTCTCACTATCTGACTGTAAACATATAATGAGACTTCAGGTATAAGGACACTTCGCGAATAAGGACACTTTACTGATGCCCCCGAGTGTCGTTATACGCGAAGTTGACTGTACGTGTGCCTTCAGGGAATAGTATCGATCCTGTGGGAGAACAAATCATCTAAACTAAATCCTTCCACTCTAGGCCAAGGCACAATCACACTCCCAGGCCATCAGGACAGGCAGTTTGGTTCAAACTGAAAGATTGAGGATTACAAAAAAGGAAGGAAGGTAAACATGGTTAAGGAACAACAAAGCTGAAAGGAACAAAACTACAGAGCCATCACCATGATTGTTGAAAAGTCGTGTCTATTGACATCTTTAAAAACTACATGTGCATCAAGTATACTTGACAAGAATAATGGCGATCGCAGTTCAAGCCAATCCTGGTTGCTGAAGCAACAGAATTCTAAATTATGGATACGCGTGCGAGCAAAAGGAATCAAACAAATAAAGTTTACGCGAAGCGATCAAGTGAGCAGAAACCTGATTCGAAGAATTGGAGGTAAGAATTACAAATCATTGAATATAATTGGGTGTTCAATGCAAGTTATAATTGTCACCAGTCATGCCTACTCGCGATGACCCAACAATCCGTTTTGTTCTCCTTTCTTTGCAGAGGGATTCTGGGAGCAAGACCTGAGAGGAGCCAACGTGATTCAGGACACTTGGGTTGGTGTTTTGAAGAACGGTATCAGCGATGAAGGTAAGGCCACACTTGTGCAAATCTCAATGCACTGCTATATACCTGGGATCCCATAGGTGTTCTGGGTACCTATCTATTAGTCTTAGGCACTGTTCCCATAAGGTTATCCGTTTGGACTCCAAGCAATCAGTCAGCACAGCGTGACTCGTACTGCAGTCCTGGGAGTGCGCGCATTCCATGAGCAAGTCAATTTTTACATCCCCCATCAGTAAGATTTGATTAGGCTAGTGACATTCATGCTTCAGGTGCACTAGAGTTCTGTTAGCACCCCAGCAGCCCAACCGGTAGGGGTAACAACTGGTAGGGATTTTCCAGTTCAACACCTCAGCACCACAAAGCAGTGTGAACCCATGACATACGTGGAGTTATGGTAAACGACGCTGTTAGCTCGCTGCTATATAGAATCAATAATTATGATAACAGTGAGCAACGTCCTTAGAAAAGTATCATCGAGGCCGCGACCACTATTTCGTATGATTAGAGGAACTGGAAAATATACATTATTTCTGTAAACGTAGTGCTTGAAAAAGATTACGTTGGTGATATTCCAGCCTGTAAATTGTTACCTACGCCCCTAACTGACTGAAATAAAAACGAAAGGGTAACACCACGAACAAAAACAGAACCGGGAAAAGCCGCATCGTATGCAACACTGGAACTACGGTATTAAAATAGACCACTCACAGTCCACCGCAGGGTGCACCAGTCCGCCAAAGTAGAATGGTCGAAGGCCATGAATAGCGTGAAAGAACAGCCAGTAATGATTATGATTAGACTGGTCCACACAGGAACAATAAAAGCATCACGTCTACGTGCGCACGCAGCATAAATGACACCAAAGAGGGGCGTGTTGATTCGTGCATGCATTGGAAATACGATGAAAGTATTGACACCAAACCCTAGCGGCAGTGATTTGCCATGACACCATACATAGACAAATGAAAGAGGTTCACCTTCCACTCAACCCCATTCAACCAAAATAGTCCTGCCGCGTTTAGAAAGACTGTTTTCGGCTGAAAAGAGGCACGAAACCGACTATAAATTTCCAAAAAATGGGTTTGAAATCTGGTTCTCCATAGGCGAGTATTTTGCCATAGCATGACTGTCATAATTTGCGAAGCATGCCTGAATTTCTAATTCCCTTACACTGGGCAGTAACGGCCTCAAGGAATTCTTGCACGGGTGACACTGTTTAGGATGTGAAGTTGTATTCACGATATAGACAACTGTACGTGGCAGACAACCAAAAGTTACAGCATCAGTTTTGGGTGAATAGACACAGGTGTGGTGGTTCGGGGATATGACCATCAAGAGCCGGCTGAAGTTGCCCCTTGTGATATCCATGTTAATACGCTCGTACCTGATCACGAGCTGTGCGTTGACGTTAAATTTTGGCCGTGACCTCTCTAGGAAACATCTTTCTACTGTGGCATTGGCTCTCTTTCTTGTCCTTTGCAGGATACGCAACTATCAGAGGAACGATGCGTGAAATGGCAAAGGCATATTCCAAGGAGCTACAATCTAAAAGTAAGTATCGCCCAGAAACGGATGTTACCATTCTTGCTCCACATATACAGACATACATTGGGACATTGAAAACAATAGCAACATCACACAATTTGAAGGGTAGTTGGCAGCAGCCAGATGGGAGCCACGAATCATTTCTCCCTGCGATTGGCTGGCAAAAACAAGAAACTATTCCACATGGGTTATGGGCCATTACACGCCCGATTGGTTGAGAGACTCGCCTACTCTCCCCTGACCCACTTGTGAGATCTGCATTTGCCACTAAGGTGTACAAGGCATAGGCATAGTGGTGGCCTGCGGAAGCGAAGGCTAGTCTGTGTGTTTCTGAACATTCAAGCGATGCCAACGCGAGCCCCGCGAATTATTATTATTATTACTCCACATGACAGTTAACCGGCTTTCAGGAATCCTTCACAAATATCATCATCTGCTGTATGAAATCACACAAGGAAGCGCACAGCCTTTTTTCTGTCTGCAATGAGTGCTTCATTACAGAAATAACATATAGAAAAATGGTCGGCTGTGGCTAGCGAATGTACGTTTCGCATACTGAATTTTTTCCCAACGGCCGTTAACATCTCCAATACTAGTGCGTCTCCAATTGAAATACATTTTGAGTGTGGATCAGAGATATAAAAGGACACGTCTCTAGTAATAGTACATGCCGGAATGATGAGATGGGCATTGTCGGGGTATAAGTGGTACCATGGTTCATTTCACTTCCCTTTTCTCATCCGCTTATCATCTTTACGTCTTTCTACTTTCTACACTCTGTATTACCATTGTTGGATTTTTTACTGGGAACACAGCCCTACAACGAGACATGTGGATGTATCCACAGCCTTACAATATCATTATCATGAGCTGTTTACCAGCCAACCCAAGCAATAAATCTTTCAAGAATCATTAAAAATAAATCATCTCCAGTACAGCTCTGTCCATCTTTGAAAAATCTATAAAGCAAAAAAAGTCCAAGGAACTACAAGATTTGCTATAATGTCCACTAAAGCCACCAGTTACTAAACAATCAGCTCGTACGCTAACATTGTACGACACTGACCGACGGTACTGACGTTCTACAACTAACTGGCTAACAGCTCTAGCACATCTTGGGTGCGCACTTCAACAGCCTTCCAAGCTTGAAAGGTTCTAAGTTATATGATAACAAAAGACGGGAACATGAATGTTATCGCATGAGCCGATTGTTCAGTAACTGCTGGTGTTAGTTGACATTATAGCGCATCTTGTTGTTCCTTGGTCCTTTTTTACTTTTGGTAGAAATTTATCCTTGGCTCTCCATCTGTGTCCAAAATAAAAGTAAATTTTATTGGAGAGAACACGGGATACGGGAGAAAGACGAAACGTGTGCGTATATGTGTGCTTATGTGTGTGTGTGCGTGTGTGTGTGTGTGTGTGTGTGTGTGTGTGTGTGTGTGTGTGTGTGTGTGTGTGTGTGTGTGTGTGTGTGTGTGTGTGTGTGTGTGTGTGTGTGTGTGTGTGATGAACACGGTCCTTGAGCCGAAGGCGTGGACCTTGCTCCTTGGATACACCATGGTTTGCAACAGCCCAGGATCGACCTTTGCGGAGATCGAGTGTCGTTGATGTTGTGCCTCCACCACCACCATCTAAGCCAACTGTGCACTGCAGTGTTTGCGACCGCCATCTTAGTGCGTCTGGGTACAAGCGCCATAGGTGCAGTGCGGCCCGTCAACTTCCTGTCAGCCAACAGCCTGGTGCAAAGTCGTGTCAGCTTTGTGGTAGATGGTTCAAGAGTGCTCGTGGGCTGAAGGTACATAAGTGCCCTCTCGCAGGTTCCTCCCAACAGCCTTCGAACTCTGTCGATCCTGCACCTCGCCTAGTGCTTCAACACCAACATTGTTGCCCATTCCACTGCCCATCATGTAATCGGTGCTTTCGATCTGCTGCTGGATTTAAACGGCACAATTGCGAGCGTGGCAAGCGACCAACAGCGAGGGAGCGTTTTGAGTTCAAGTTCTGCTGTGCGTGCGGCGAGAGATATCGCAGACAGCAGGATCTGCAGCGGCATGTGGCCGGATGTTCTGCCGCGACGCCGTGATGCTACCCCCTTTGTTCCCCTCCTCATGAGGGCAGCTTAGCCGTTTAACGGCAGCTGTTTGTCAAGGTCCAGGTCAAGGTGTGTGTGTGTATGTGTGTGTCCCATATGGTGCAGTGGTATGTGCAGTCGATTTCCAATCGAGAGGTTGCGTGTTCAATTCCCGACGATTATGGTCGCACACGTCTTTCTTCTCTTTCTCATTTTCCTAGCTCTTCTTTCAGTCTCCTGGGCGGTTACCAACAGCCAGTGTATGCCGGAGTATGTGGTGTGGTGTGTGTGTAAAAATAAAAATAAAAAAAATGAAAAATAGGGATTCACTGGCCAGAAAAAGCCACTTCAATCAGCTGTGTGGTGGATACCAGGCTAAAATTAGTGGTGGTCAATTCATCAGCCTTGCAAGCTGTTGAATGGTGTAATCCCAGCACAAGTTGCTATGTCTAACATAGCTGTTCGCTATCATCGCTTCCGCGATGGGCAGGTCTGAGGTGAATGTGCGTGTGTGTGTGCGTACGTGCATGCTTGTGTTTTCTTTGGGTGTGTCTGTGTATGTGTCATTTTTTTATGTTTATAGAAAAGAAGCCCGTGCCAGACTTTACAGTCAATTACGACACTGTAGGCGTGGATGACAAACCAGTGACAAAGACCGTCACAATTCCATTCAACGGGGAGCCGTTTGGTTTCTATGATTTGCGTGAGTTTGCGACTAATCAGGTGGACGATGACTCGACGGCTGCTGACTACCCATTCACACCGGACCGCGCCAATCGCAAAGCTGCTGGACCACGTGGAATGTATTTCTACGGCCCTGAAGTGTAAGGGAAGGACGAAATCATTAAGAGAGCATGTCTGAGAATACCAAAGTATGTGTGCAAGTGAATCTCTCCGATTTCGCTCAAATTTTGCAGGCATGTCCCCTTTGGGGTATAGATTGATTGTGCAAAGCCCTTGAACAAATTTCCGAAGGGAACCTTGAAACTTGCATGCCCTTCAAAAATGGCCGAAATATCACGCTATTTATGGGGTCTATAAACGAGTCACGCCACAGCGTATAAGAACAAGCTACGAACGAAACTCCATCAAGCCAACATTGCCTCACCTTAGAATAGTTCCTGGAGCAGTACTGCTTAGCCACGCCAGGATCCCAGAAGACCAGGGCCATCACCCCCTGACGCCACAAATGATCGTCTTGAAAATAGCCAATTTACAACCGCTGCCAAAACAGCCAGCTACGTCCTCAATTGGCAAGAACTATACACCGGCAGATAGTAGAACACCTCTTCTAGCGCTGAGGACATGCCCCCCCCCCCCCATCTTCCTTTTGGGGTTTTCTTGTAATAAACCTTTTTGAATTTTTCTGCGGTGGCGCGATGATAGTTGTGGCACGAAATCAGACACGGTAAATCAGCGTGCCTGAGCTTCTGCGAGACTTCTGGGAGCATAAGCGGTACCCAAGTACGTGTGGTGCAAAATTCACGTGTTCCGTTCTTGCAATCTGTGGATTTCTCTTAAAACCTGAAGGGCACATCAAATTAATGTGAAGCGCAGTCTGTGGGTGCAATGTGTGGATTTCGTTGAAAATCAAGACCATGTTTTTTTCAAAGAAATCCACAGATTGCGTCCCTCATGAATTCGCTGTGCCCCTCTAGGGCCACAGGTTGCGCCCCACACGGATTCGCTTTGCTCTCCATGATTTTCAAGGAAATCCACAGATTCCACCCGCAGACTGCGCCCCACATGAATCCGATGTGCTCTTCAGGTGTTTGAGAAAAATCCACAGATTGCACGAACAACACACTGGAATTGTGCACCAAACATTTCCTGGGTGTGCTCCCAGAAGTCTCGCAGAAGCTCAGGCATGCGATTGTACCGTGCATGGTCTGCGCACTCTGGGAATTGTCAGATTGCGCGGAACTGCCTGCGCAACTTGCAGCTTGCACAGGCTATCTGGTATTTCTCAGATTGCGCAAATTCTCAGATTGCTCGGAACACATGCAGCTAGCTGCCCAGCGTGGAAACTTGAAAGTCTCAAGTGCACTAGTGGGGGCCTCTCGATCTGCTCGCTCGTTCTCCTGGCATTCCGTAGCACTTCATCGCCATGGACTTCAAGTCAAACTGTTTTCAAACTGCTCCTCCAGCCTTTTTCCTCCCCAACTTGCTTCAAACTTATAAGCTCTGCTGCGCGTTATCGCTTTGCGTGAGGCCAAGAAACAGATAGTGTCCCTGTACCTCAATTGGCTGGATCAATGTCAACCAAAAAGGATTTTCTCCCTAAGCCTGGTTTTCGCAGAAATTGGGCCAAATGTTAGATGCGTACATTTTTTAGCAAGTTGAAGATAATATTCTGCCGACACCAGGATGTACGCACAGTGATCTGGTGACATTCTTCCCCTGTTGTGTAGGTTTGCAAGGAAGGTGGCCGCGGGTATAGAAGAGCTTGCTGGAGTTGCAGCCAATGTGGTATGTACTTTGTAGAATGATGAGGCATTGTTTTTCATTCATTTGAGGAAGTCTAAAAGTGTTTTCACCAGTTTTAGAAGTCTGCCTGCTTTCAGAAATTTTCATTATCTTTCAATGTCAACCCAACCTATTTCTTGGTCCTAGTCCGATATTCTTCCCTTTGTTGTGTGTTTGTTCATTCGTTGGGACATGTCTGGAGCTGCATGTAATGTGCATGGGTAAGAAGTGTGGCAGGCTTTACGGACACTGTCCGGTTCTCCATCGGAGTTGCGTCTTATTAGTCTTTTCTGAGATGCGCTGTGTTTTGTGCACCCGCAATTGTCCTCCAGCCTTCCTGTCGATCCGACTCGCCGTACACAATAACGTGACTGACCTAAAATACATCAAACGCTCTCTCTCTATCAATCTCTATCTCTCTCATGCTCTTCCTCTCTCTGTGTCAGTCTCTCTCCCTCCCTCCCTCTCTCTCTCTCTCTCTCTCTCTCTCTCTCTCTCTCTCTCTCTCACTCTCTCTCTCTCTCTCTCTCTCTCTTTCTCTCTCTCTCTCTCTCTCTCTCTCTCTCTCTCTCTCTCTCTCTCTCTCTCTCTCTCTCTCTCTCTCTCTCTCTCTCTCTCTCTCTCTCTCTCTCTCTCTCTCTCTCTCTCTCTCTCTCTCTCTCTCTCTCTCTCTCTCTGTCTCTGTCTCTGTCTCTGTCTCTGTCTCTGTCTCTGTCTCTGTCTCTGTCTCTGTCTCTGTCGTCTCTGTCTCTGTCTCTGTCTCTGTCTCTGTCTCTGTCTCTGTCTCTTCTTCTGTCTCTGTCTATGTCTCTGTCTCTGTCTCTGTCTCTGTCTCTCTCTGTCTCCGTCTATCTCTGTCTCTGTCTGTCTCCGTCTGTCTCTGTCTCTCTGTCTCTCTCTCTATCTATCTCTATCTCTGTCTCTGTCTGTCTCTGTCTGTTTCTATCTCTCTATCTATGTCTCTGTCTCTCTGTCTCGCTGTCTCTCTGTCTCTCTCTCTGTCTGTCTCTCTCTCTCTGTCTGTCTCTCTCTCTGTCTGTCTCTCTCTTCTGTCTCTCTCTCTCTCTCTCTCTCTCTCTCTGTCTCTCTCTCTCTCTCTGTCTCTGTCTCTCTCTCTCTCTCTCTCTCTCTCTCTCTCTCTCTCTCTCTCTCTCTCTCTCTCTCTCCTCTCTCTCTCTCTCTCTCTCTCTCTCTCCTCTCTCTCTCTCTCTCTCTCTCTCTCTCTCTCTCTCTCTCTCTCTCTCTCTCTCTCTCTCTCTCTCTCTCTCTCTCTCTCTGTCTCTCTCTCTCTTCTCTCTCTCTCTCTCTCTCTCTCTCTCTCTCTCTCTCTCTCTCTCTCTCTCTCTCTCTCTCTCTCTCTCTCTCTCTCTCTCTCTCTCTCTCTCTCTCTCTCTCTCCCTCTCTCTCTATCTCTCTCTCTCTCTCTCTCTCTCTCTCTCTCTCTCTCTCTCTCCTCTCTCTCTCTCTCTCTCTCTCTCTCTCTCTCTCTCTCTCTCTTTCTGATTATATTCAATAATTTTGGTGTTTGTCATTGGCCTGGTCCATCCCTTGCAGCAAGCAGACGCAGATGCGTGCGCGCGTGAAACTCAGGCCGCAGGTTGTAATTGGGTAAGTACTGGCATATACACTTGGTACATTTTTGTTTGCTGGAAAGGAAAAGATCCTTGAGAAATCTTTCTGGGATTGTGAGACTTTTCAGCTCGTATTGTCGCTGAAATCTTGCCGAATAGATTCATTGTCGAAAACATAAAGAAAAAGGCCTTATGAAGTAGCGCGGTGTGTAGGCAGGTGAAACGGCACCCGAGCATATGTATTCCACAACCCACTCCTATACATGGATGACTTTTTCTATTTTTTCTTCCTGCCCAATGACATTATGTAAGAATTCAAGACATCTGATGATGGTGTTCAATTGGAAACATTGGGAAACCATCATTATTGTTTTTCTCTCTCCGGACAACGGTACAGCAGAGAATTGTGTGAGCAGCCAAACAATCATGCTTTCTTCACTTTGTTTTCGCTGGACCGTAACAACAGATACCATCTTAGTGGTGTAGCAATGAACGAGAGAGCTTGAAAGCTCAGGGTCCTACGCTATGCTATTTGCCTAGCTCATCGTGAATGTTATTCACACTGATGGAAACGTTTTTGCAACACAATGATGTAGCCGATAATGTAACATCTCTTGCGTAGCGGCATAGGTTCCTCAATTGACAGCCCAATGCCTATGTCTGCAGTCACCGAAAATCGAATAGTTTTTCAGGCATGATCACGTTTTTCTCCTGCCGACTGGATGCCTGCTCAGCGGTCTCTTTCTGACCACGCAACTTGGCACAAGGTCCGCGAGTCTCCAAATATCGGGATTTTTACTCCGTTGTTTCTTGTTGTCGGGTAGCCTTTTGCAAGCACGTCGAC